GGGGCAGGGAGCTCACCATCCCGGCCAGTTCCTATTTCCACCATCTGCCAGGGAAGCCTCTTTCCCAGAATTGCCAGCTTCTTGTCCAACCACACGCCCAGTGCTGGTGGGCATCTGACATTTGTTGAGAGCCCTGGACTTAGCTCTCTCTTGGTTTTAAGGTAGGAGGAAAAGGGGGTTATTTGGGCGGCAGAAGAAACTCAGAAAGGGAGAACAAAGTACAGCCACTGATTTGGTCTGTCCCCCGTCCATTGATAGGCAGCTTGGATGGACAGCAAGTTCATCCTCATTTCAAGTTAAAATTCCTCTTCCCATAACTATCTCAGACATTGGGCTGCCATTTTCTCATGAAGACAGCTTGGCATAAAGGATAGCAGGCTGGACTGGGAGTCAGGAACGTCCACACACCAATTCTCCCCCAAACCCTTGAACAAGACGCCTCATGTCTCTGTGACTCAGTTTCTTCATCCTGTAAAGTGAGGTTTGAAGGCTTTTCTGCTGACTCTTAGGATTTTGCCACCATTCCCCACCCCTCATTTGACTTTTATGAGTTGTCTTCCCCAATTAGAATGTAAGCTTCTTGAGGACACCCACTGCCATTCTTTTTCGCTTGTATTTGTATCTAGTTCTTATTAGCACAGTTCCTAGAACACAGTAAGCACTTAAGAAATGCTGCTGGGCTTGCTTTGACGCCCTTTAGGGTCCTTTCCAGTCCAGAGTCCATGATCTTGCAGTGGCCATAATAATAGCACACAGGGCTGACGACAAGCAAATTCTCGTCAGGTTTGTAAAGTCATTTATAAACCTTAAAGTTTATAGGAATGCTAGTTATTATTGTCAATTTTGTTGTTGTTGTTTGGACTGTGACCCCATTTGGTGTTTTCTTGGCAGAGATATTGGAGGGGTTTGCCATTTCCTTTTCCAGCTCATTTTACAGATGAGGAAACTGAGGCAAACAGGGTCAAGTGACTTGCCCAGGGTCACCCAGCTAGTCAGCGGCTGAGGCCAGATTTGAACTTAGGAAGATGAGTCTTCCTGATTCCTGGCCTGGCACTCTGGGCACTATGGCGCCACCTAGCCGCCCCATCATCATCATTATTGATGTCATTATTATTATCCTACTCAATCAGGTTCCATCCTTTACAATCTTATCTCACACTTTCTGCAGCACACTCTATGGGCCACATGAAGGACAGGGACTAAGCCTGTGACTTCATTGGTACAGGGAAACCCCAGATATATACACATCATAGAAAGGTAGGTAGACAGCTATTATAAATAATACATATGCTATTATTTTAACAGCTAACATTTATATACTGCTTTTAGATTTAAAAAGAATTTTACACATAATCTCATTATACTCACATCCCAGGAGGTAGGTGCTATTATTCTCCCCATTTTACAGATGAGAAAACTTCAACTGAGAGGGGCCAATAAGGGTCACATAGACAGTAAGTGTCTAAGGTAAGATTTGAATTCAGATCTTCCTGACTTCAAATCCAATATTCTGTCCACTACTCCACCCACCATAAGGAAACTCTCTCTACAGATGTAAGTCAGTACCTTCTCTGCACTTTTGGTCTTAGAGGGTTGCCTGGGGGCACCAAGGGGTTAAGTGTGAGCCCTGGCTTAGTCAGCCAGTATCAGTCAGAAATAGTACTGGAACTCAGGCCTTCTATGCTTCAAAGTTGGCCCCCTCCCTTCCACGCCAACATGAGGCCTTTTCAGTGTTTGGTAAACTGAGGCTAATTGCTACCCTCTGTACACACTCTGCCTTCTCCCAACTTTGCCCATGTTCCTGTGGATCTTTCCCTCTTCTCTTTCTCTAAATGTCCTCAAATGTTCATTAAAGTCTTTGAATTCCTTCACGCTCCAAGCCTGATAACCACCTCCTCCAGGAAGCCTTCCAGACCTAGCAAACATCCCCCTGTGCCACCACCTCTCCCTCCTCAGATTTGTCATAACACTTTGCCTGGACCAAGGCCTCTAGCTCTTTAGGGACCCTGGAGAGAGATCCCCGTCCCTCCCTGCTGGGAAGTGGCCGGAAACTCTGAGCAGCAGACAGAAAGAAATGACCTTTCTCTGGCTATTGAGCCTTCCTCCCTCCCTCCCTTCCTTCCTTCTTTCCTCCCTTCCTTCTCTTCCTTCCTTTCTTCCTCCCTCCCTTCCTTCCTTCCTTCCTCCTTTCCTCCCTCCCTTCCTTTTTTCCTTCCTCCTTCCCTCCCTCCCTTCCTTCCTTCCTTCCTTCCTTCCTTCCTTTCTTCCTTCCAGCAAAGCCTTTGATAGCCAACCAACCCTTAGATATCAGGACAGGCACTGGCAGTGCCTTAGACAACCTACTTACCCAAGGAGAGGATTTTCAACGTTTAGAAAGGCAGCTTTGCGGAGGGAGAAAAATCTGTGGACTTGAAGCCAAGAAGACCTGGGTTCAAATCCTTGCTCGGATACCATGTAACTTTGAGCAAGTTGCTTGGCCTATTCCAGCCTCATTTTCCTCATCTGTAAAATGGGGCTAATCATACTTGAGGCGGTGTGGTGTTGTGAATAGACAGCTAATCTGAGGGTCATAAAAACCTGGGTTAGGGATACAGCTAACTCTCACAGGACCAAAGAATCATGGATTTAGAGCTGGAAAGGGCCGCAGAGACCATCTATTGCAAGTCATCTAAGGTGGTACAGTGGACACAGCAGTCACCTCAGACACTTACTGTGTGTGTCCCTGGGCAAGTCACTTAGCCACTGCCTGCCTCAGTTTCCTCAAATGTAAAACAGGGATAAGAACAGCACCAACCTCCCATGGTTGTTGTGAGGATCCAATAGCATAATATTTGTAAAGCACTTATCACAGTGCCGGGCACACAGTAGGTGCTTAATAAATGCTTATTTTTCACCTTGCCTTCCTCATTTTACAGATGATGAAACTGAGGCAGATAGCAGTTAAGTGACTTGCCCAAGGTAAAATGAATGACAGGGCCAGCATTTGAACCCAGGAACTCTCCCAATCTAGAGCCTCTTTCCCCCATACCACACTGTTGCAGTGCAGTCACTAACCTGAATTGATGGAGGGAGTTTCCTTGCTGGAAGTTCTTTACCCTAATGAGATCACAGGTCTCACCCTACTCCATCCCACAAAAAAGCCCCTCTATTCAACCTCCCAGGGCTGTTGTGAGCTGTATTATCCAGTGGGGTGGAGAGAGCGAAATGAAAAGCTTTGGTTGCCCTTTTGGGAGGCCCCACTCCCCGCTATTCCTTCCTACCTGGGACTTTTTTACATAAGATTGCCTAAATTAACGAAAATATTGAACACTGACCATTCTGAGGAAGCCAGCACGAGAGCCCTGGCTCCATACCCTGGCTCTGGGTCCCCCCAAAGTCCCCCAGGACATGAAGAAGCAGGGAGAGGCCCCCGGAGAGGTCTGGGTTCCGATCCTCCCTTGGCCCCTAACTTGATGTGTGACCTTGGGTAATGCGCCTGATTAATCACAAGCTCTCAACAGCTGGAAGGAATAAGAGCACCAGCAGTGATCCAATCCCTGGACAGGGGCCCTTCTTCTGCACACACCACAAGTGGCCATCCAGGCACTGCCTGGGGACCTCCCAAGATGGACCCTCCTGTTTCAGGTGGCCTGACTTTGGAACCTTCACCCATTCCAGTGAGTTCTGCCCACTGAGGCAGAAACAAGAAAGCTCCATTCCAGCTGACAGACCCCAAGACAACTCAGACACCTCCCCACACCCACCACCCCACGCTTCCCTTCTCCAGGCTTACTCCCCCATTGCTTCAACTGACCCTCACCTGTCATGAACTCAGGGGCCATCACCACCCTGGCCGGCCCCTTCTGGACACTCTCCAGCTGGTCAGCGTCCGTCTGGTCCAAGATGCTTTATTGATATGTATTATTTTGTTTGGTCATACCAACGACTACCTCGTGAGGCAATATTCCCATTTTACAGTTGAGGAAACTTGAGGCCCAGAGAATAGAGGGGAGTGATTTGCCTAAGGACGCATGGTGCAAAAATTAAAGAGCTGAGACCAGAGAACTCCCATCTTTTAGCTCTAAGTGGTGATCTTTCCATTATACCAACTCACTTGCCTGGCGAGCCTCAGTTTCCACCTCCATGAAAGGAGGAAATTAAATGAGATGCTCTCTAAAACCCCTTCCAGCTCTGACATTCAACATGCTAAGGTCCTTCCTGGTTCTGACATTCAATACTCTAAGATTTCTCCTAGCTCTACACCCAGGTCTTGAGACACAGTGAACATTGGTCCTGGGGACTGGAGGAGCTGTGTTCAAAGGCTACTCAGATACTTACTAGCTCTGTGACTTTGGGCAAATGTTTTAATCTCTCTGTGCCTCAGTTTCCTCATCTGTAAAATGAGTAGGTTAGACTCTAGGACCTCTAAGGTCCCTTCTAGCTTGAAATCTACAATCCTGTTTTTTCCAGCTCTGATTTTCAATGCTCTAATATCTTGTTCTAATACAACATTCAACACCCTAATGTCTTTTTCTGATCTGACATTAAATGCTCTGATGTCTCATTCTGATCTGACATTCAATGCTCTAATGTCTTGTTCTGATCTGACATTCA